ATTCTGATCGCATATGCACTGACCTGTAAAAAGAGCTTCCTTTTTTTTTTTTTTCATTTTGAATCTAGCAATCAGCATTCTGCACAGTTCAGTTATTCCAAGACTATGATTGTTTGGACTTTCTCAGCATGTTATCATATTATATCTATAAAGGACTGATTCTTATTTTAATGTATCCAGTCACCATGATGATCTCATTTTATGTCTGGAGTTAGGGTTTTTCAATAGGTTTGTAAAATCAACCATAACGTTTCTGCACTATACAGCATACATGAAAGTATAACTGGATTATTAGTTATTTTTAGATAGATGTTGCTATGAAATGAAATGTTACTATTCATCAAAACATGTTTCTTGTATTATGCCTCCCCATTAGGATGATCTCTGTAGACTAAATACCAGGTAAATATATTTATAACATTATTTATTGTTTATTTTTATTTCATTTATTATTTATATATTTATTTTATATATTGATAAAAATTTTGATCAAACAAATAGCCAGTTGGGATTATTTCTTGCAGAATTCTCATGACTACGGTGGCTATACAACTTCTGAAGATGAGACTGATTATCTGTACGATTGAGGGTGATTTTCATTTGATTAGCACTTAATACAAACTAATCTAATTTGTACTTTATAAATTTATTTTAAAAAGAAAAATATCCTTTAATACATGCATTTTCTATAATTTGCAATGGTTTAAAGGCCAGAATAAAAAAGTTTATCTCTATGTATATATTAAGGGAAAATCTCTTGTGTTGAAGAAAATTGTTTGCAAAAAATAGTTTTCTAATAATATATTAGAATAAATACACACCTAAATCCATTCACATTTTCTTACACTATTTAACAACTCAACTGATGTGCAGGAGTCAGGAACTATTTCTGGTCTTGATCCAAAAGAAATAATTATAATCAATCTTGTGAATTCATTAACATTCTAAATTTTTCACAAAGTTTTTTCTGATATGTGATGACATGTCATGAGATTTTGGCATTTTGTGAACATTCTCTTGAGATTTTAGTGTTATTTTATGAGATTAGAGAGCATTTCAAATTTTCCACATCAAAGCTATAAGGTCTGGCCAATATATCATCAGTTTAGCTACTTAATGAGATTTTGGCATTTTAAACAAATATTTTATTTACTTTACCGCAGACGGCTAACTTGGGGTGCTTTGAGATATCTAGTTAAGTGGCATCTTGTTGCTGACACTATTGATCTGAAAATGGATTGAGGCAAATTTAAGATTTGGAAAAATGTTCAGAAATGAATTTGACAGGTTCATCAATCCATAATGGATCCATTTCAAACTGATTTTAGACTTGGTTTAGGTACACCCATTGATCTAATGGGTGACCAGTTCCAAGATAAGGACAGGTGCACTGTCTTGGTAAACCTCTGGGATCCTTTTGTGACTTTTCATGTAATTTCTTAACATATTCTTGATATGTTCTCTGCCCTCCAGATGGAGGGTATTGTATAGAGAAGTTCTGCCCCAGTTTGAAGGCTGGTTCCAAAAAGGGATGTAAAACTTAATAATCACAGAATTCCACAGAGTTATCTGTTCTCCCAAGCTCTTTATACTAGTGAGTTAGGTTATTGAAATGTTGAAGACATCTAGCTTTAGTTCTCCTTTTCATGAGATTCAGAATCAGTTGAGACAAATTAGTGTCCACTTGTTACTTGTTTGTCTAGATGATTTTAATTCACTCTTCAGCAAAGCTTTTTTTTCTGTATATGAAAATGAAAAAAAATATAACTAGGGAGTTAACCAACATTACTGTGGGGTAAAATAATATATTACAAATCTGGGAGATAAAAATATCTTGTTTTGCTTGGTACCAAAAGGCTAAGATTGCCATCAGAATGTGCTTTCCTCAAGAATGGTTTTCACCAACAGTCTCTTTTCACTGTATCTTGGATAACATGTGGGAATTCAAATAAATCCTCTAAAGATGACCTATAGTTTTGTTTTCATGTTTCCAGATCTGAAGCCATAGAAGATTTTATCATAAATGCCAGCATTTAGAATTATAGCTGATTTAATATTGTTGATTAGAGATTTTGCTAAGGTTTTTATTAATAAATGGACTTTTTCACTTTTTATGATTTGACTGTGTTTGTTTTTAAATTGCATGCAAATCTGAGAGATTAGTTGCTGACCAGCAACTTATAAATTAAATAAACCAATTAATAATGTGTGACAAATATTTACTTATTTACTTACAATAATTTCTATACTGCCCAGCTCCCAAGTACAACAATTGACACAGAACTAAATGGCATGTATTTGTTGCATTATATTTTCATGACTATGTAGAATGAAAACTGTTTAAAAATATTCCCTGAACAGAAACTATGATACATTATTTCTGCTCCACATATGCTCATCTTTCTCAAAGTTATTTCACTGTGGAACAGAGAGTTTTGTCATTACATTTCTAAATTGTGTTGGAGAGTTGGAAGCAAGTAATAAACATCCATTTATTTTGGTAGAAAGAATGTGAAGAAATTAGAATTAATCCTGCTGATAGTTCATTATCCCTATTTCTAAGACGTAAGTGGATCCAACAGAGGAAATGAATTAAGTCTGTTATCAATTTATTTGATGTCCAATCTTTTGTAACATCAGAGAATTAAAATACATATTCTCTTGAATGAGTGGTGTTTTAAAATGTGAATTTGCTGAAAAATTATTAAATTTTTTGAAAAGCAGTAAAGGATAAATTTATTCAGATCTGATCATCATTTCATAGGAATTTTAACAGATTACCTTTACTCTACAGATGTCATTTGGAGTAGAAATATTGAACATGCATGTTTACGTATTCCCATATTTTTAATTTTTTTTCCTTAGTTTTTATTTTTTGTATTTATATTTAATTTGCTCTTTAAAAAGAAATAGAAAAAAATATATGTTATTTCTGCTCCTATAAAACATAGCAGAGCAACCTAGGCTTGGAACAGACAGTCTCCTTTGGCAGATGGGATTTTAACAGTCTAACATTTGACAGAGAAAGGAAGCAAAAGAGATAAATTCTGGGTCTTTTCTTCCTCCTCTTGAATTTACAGTTGGTGGAATTTCAGCTATATTTAAATATGTATTTATACTCAGCTTACACTCTTTAGTTGACAATGTAAATCAATCTTAGTCAAGACTAAGATCATTGGTTTACTTTTTATGTTTAAACAGGCCTGTATGTTCATGAATCTGATTGTTGGCCAGCTGGTTCAGTGGCAGTATTTTGGAAAAGTGGATTATTTGTAAATTTATACATAGAGAAGAAAATGCAGAGTATACAATAGTAAGCCCAAGATTTGTTAGACCACAGCCTAATCAGGCCCTAGAGTCCAATCATACTCTGACTTCTTGCATGGGAAATGTTTTTCAGCATCTGATAGTCCTTTGTGTGTCATATTTGCATCATTTATAACTATCATTAACTTCTACCAGATCTGGATTGCAAAAATCCAGAGAAGCACAAGATGGCAGTAAAGAGATACAGAAGACCCTAACACTTTGCTCACATCTAACGGTCACCCAGATTTTTGCAGTCCAAATCTGGAAGCTGTAATCCACTTAAAGTATATATAAAACTGCAATTGTTATTACACCTAAGCCAAGATATAAACTATTAAAAATGCAAGCATTGCATAGCATTTTCTGATATACCTGGACAATTTATTTTGTTCTTGGAAACCTAATTCTAATAGTAAGATTGGTGTTAGAAAGCTAGCATGCTAGAAGTACAGTACTAGACTTTAGCATTAAATTTATTTACAAAGATGCCCATGGCCCCAAATAGCCACCATAAGGAAAATTAGAATATAAAATAGTAGGTGATCAAAGCTTTGATTTAAGTGTGCCCATATGTACGGGAAAAATACAGTGATAAAATAAGCTAGTAACAACAGGAGCATTCTGGGAGGAGAGGAAGGAACAACTTCACCAGTTGCTTTTGGTAATTCAATGTTTTGTGATTTGCCACAAAAGACCTCTAAAATGTCTGTATAAAGGTTTTTATATAAAGGTATATCTTTCTTTTTTAATAGCATATTTCGTACAGTGCTTTTCTCCTATCTCCTAGGGATAAATTAATAGCAGAACTAGGCTACAAGGACTATTCAGAAAGTATATTATCTGTCCTCCATGAAGTATATGATGTTGTGGCATATGGAAGCAGTAGGTAACATGATCTCTGTGAATGATTTGTAATTTTTTAAATCTCATCTGAAACATAATTAAGATTTGTGACACATTGTGATTTTTTAATTTATTTATAATTATACTATAAGATGGATGGAGAAATAGCATCCTTTTATTTCTGAGCGTTAAATGTATGGGAAAATCTTAGTGTCTTAATGTGACCCTGATAATCACTCCTTTGGATTGCTTCTATAACTTTCTGACCAAAGGCAATATATAATCTAGAAAAAATATTAATAAATATGTGTGCACACATAATAATTACTAGACAATTTTTATTTTATAAAAATAAGCAGGGTTGTATTGCCCAGGTATCTGCATTGTGCACACAGGGTTACATACACAGCCTATGCAATTTGTCTCAGTGTCATTGGCCACTGAACCTCCTAGAAATAGAAGCCCCCCACCCCAATGAAAAAGCAAAGATGACCCAATTGTAGGGCTGCTGTATCCTCACTTTCTTGATTTGAATACCTGAGAATACAGTCTGTACTTATCTATATATTCCAAGGCTGGATTCTATTTCTAAGTCACATTACAGTGTAACCATGCTTTGAAAAAGACAGAGGAAAATGCTAGAAACTGGCTGTTATATAGAAATAGGTAGTTATACTTAATCAGTTGCTTTCCTCTTTTTCACAGCTTGCCGGTCAGGATTCTATAAAGCATTTGCTGGAAATATAAAGTGTTCCAAGTGCCCTCCACACAGCCAAACCTTCATGGAAGCAACATCTGTATGTCAGTGTGAAAAAGGTTACTTCCGAGCTGATAAGGATCCAGCAACTATGGCATGTACCCGTAAGTTTAATTGATCCTGGTGTTTAAAATTGTTCCCTTATCCCTCTTATTAACTCAAAGGATAAAAACAGCACTTGTTTTTGCTAATCAAAAATGCAAATTAGCTTTTCGTTTAGTCCCAAGACTCTTAAATAGTGAAAATGTATTCCTCAATCTTGCGTATCATCAAAACAACAACACACTTTGTTGTTTCACTGCACCAACTCCATTATTAATAGAATGATTACACTTTAAGAACTTTTGGGGAGAACTAGTGTATATTTTCTGTGTGTGTCTGTGTGTGCATATATCTTATGGATAAAAGATTGATTGATTATGTGCCATGAAGTCAATTCGAACTCTTAGCAATACATAGATAAACCACCTCAAGGATGATCTGCTTCCTGACTCTTCCAAAGTTGCATCCATCTGCTCTGCTGCTGCCCACCTTCTTCTTCTCTTTTTCTCCATCCTTCCCAGAATTATGGACTTCTCAAGGGAGCTGGGTCATTACATAATGTACCCAAAATGTGATAACTTAAGCCTGATCATTTATACCTTAAATGGGAACTCTAGGCTGATTTGTTCTATGTTCCATTTGTTTGTTTTCTTGGCTATTGTGGTATTCTCAATAGTCTACTCCAGCACCAAAGTTCAAAAACATCTATCCTGTTTATTCAAACTGCACCTTTTGCATCCATGGAGTGTTACATGAAAAATCATTGGCTGCAGAATTCTGATCTCTGTAGGTATAGACACATCATGGCATCTGAATATCTTTTCTAAGGCTGTCATTGCTATTGCACCAAGTGCTAGTTGTGTGGTATATTTTTTGATTATTGGTTCTTTACTGTTAATACTATTAATCCTAATAGTAGAAGCTATCCACTACTCAATAACTTCATTGTCCATTCTAAGACTGGTTGCAGTACCTGTTGTTATTACTTGATGTTCTTTATCTCAGTCCCATTTTTTTCATTGTGCTCCCTGACTTTCATTACTGGAGCTTCCAGATCATTTTCTCAGCCTTCTGAGTGGTGTCATCAGTTTACTGTAGGTATTGAGGTTTCTTCCTCCATTTTTAGAAGTACGGTCAAATTTTCCAAAACCAGTTTCCCCCAAAATATATTCAGCAAATAGATTGAATAAATAAGGAAAGAGTGTACAGTCCTTTGCTGACCTGGATCTGTTTCACTATGCTCTGTCCAGACTTTCTGTATTTCTGTCTTGTGTTCCACATGAGGGCAATCAGATGTTCTGGGATTCTCATTTTCCTAAGGACATTTCACAGTTTGACATACCTGAAGGTTTTTCTATAATCAATGAAGCACATATTGAATACTTTTTGGGATTATTTGGTTTTCTCAGTTATCCAGCATGAATCAGCAATAATGTCTCTTGTTCCTCAGCCTTTTCTAAAACTAGCTTGAATATCTGGCATCTCTCTTGCCATGTAGGGCTCTCATCTGTGTTGGATGATTCTAGCTTGTGAATTTAAGGATATTGTACAATAGTTTGCACACTCTGTTAAGTCTCCTTTCTTTGGTATTGCTATGTAGACTGATTCTTCCACTCTGGTGGAACAACACTCTGCTATTCTCCAGATTTGCTGGCATAGTTTCATTAGAATCTTTACAGATTCTTCTGTTGCTTGCTGTATTTCTGTCATTCCATTATTCCATCATTTCCAGTAGGTTTTGATTTGGTAATGTTTAGAGTGCTAACTTCATCTTCCAGTTCTAGAGATTCTTGTGTCTAGATGTCATTGTAATACTGCTTAGTGTCTCTTCTAACATTAACATACACAAATACACCCCTAGAATTCTTCATTCATCATTCCTGGGATAACCTTCTACAAAATATATATTGACATCATAATGCAAACAATGCTTTTGCCAATCTTCTCCTTCCCTTAATCTTGGAGTGAACATGATAACTATCCAATAAATAACATCTTGACACATTAAGTAACCCTAAGAGAGGAAAATGAAGTGCATAATTGGTTATTTTGGAGCACATTTGAAACCTCAAGCATTTATATCCTAATTGCTTTTTTTCCTAGTTATTAAAAAAAGATACAAAATTGAATGAACATACACAAATGGTGTACATGTACTGCAGTATATCTATAATGCATGTATCCTAGAAATGCCTTTGAGAAGATAAATACTAGACCCTTTCAAGATACAAAAATATGCATGTGGTGTCTAGAATTTAAAATTGAGCTATAATTTTATGGATCAGATTCAAATGACTAATTAAAATAAAATCAAGCCATTCCATTTCCCATCAGCCATCCCTAAAAGTGGTCCTAAGTGGAATATAATATAGTCCACTATCTTTTTAAAAAAAATAACGCTAAAGTTCCCTTTCGGATCCACAGACATGATTTTATGATCGCAGCCTAATATTCAGGCTGCTTCAGGTCCAAAAATAAAGACTTTATATGAGCTTGGGGATGACTTGAGAGCAGAAAGCAAGAATTGTAGGAAATACTATTTAGGTATTGGTCCTAATTATGCTTTGGTCCATTATGCTTTGGTCCTATTCCTTCCCTATACCTCCACACCAGAGGGCTTCTTCTGATTGAGAAACATGATATTTGTTAGTATTATAATGCATCAACCTACTGATCTTTGTGCCATCTGGATTACATAATACAATTTTCCCATATTTAATATATGATACATTTTGTTTTTCATTATCTTATACTGAATTCAGGCTTAATTAGGCAACTGAAATAAACTTTGCAACATTTTCCAACAAAATACATCACTGTAGTTCAATCTAGTTTGACCAGATTGTCTTTTTCAATTGAAAGAGGGTAAAACAATTTATGTTTTCTTCTGTCCCGATCCCTTTTTTTTAATTCGAGTAAACTAAGCTACTGTTCCAAGTAACATTTCTGTGATTATGCTGCTACTAGGAGACATAGTTTCAAGTCTACTCTCAGCCATTAAAACTCCCTGGGAAATTTGGAACAAGTCATTATCTCTGAGTCTAACTTTCTCATAGAATGATTTTGGGGGGAAACTTGAGGAGACGGTATTACATACACCACCTTAATCTCCCGAAATAAAGATGATAATTTTGATAAATAAAACTTAGGGGAAGACTAGCCTTATTTATAAAGAACTCAGTAGCCAGGTTCACACTATTGTTTCAAGTAGGAGCTTCATTTTTTCGAGTTAAACTAAAACATAAGTACTTGCCTCACTTTATTTAGCATTAAAAGTGATTTCCCTGTAGTCCAAATGTCCATGTCCTCTTCTTATGAATGTTAACCCCCACCCAAAAAAGACAGAACTTTCAATGTAATTTCATATTTCTCTCTCTTTATATGATTAATACCTTGATAAACCACTACAAGAGGTTTGTTGTGTATGCTGTCACATCAAAATTATTATTTTGTTAGTACTTTATTAATATGTCTTTATACATCAGTAATACGTAGGAAAGAAGATGTAAATAAATGAAAGGATTCTGAATAGTTCGGTTCTATGGAGAAAAAAATTAGATACTTTTTAGCCACCAAAATCTGGAGAACGGGAAAGAATGTATACTATTTGCCTTTTAATATAAACGTCTCTAATTTAAAAATTTTGAAGCAATGCATGCATGAGTATCAACATGAAGGGCAAGGATGAGCAAATGTCATCATTCTGCAAATGCAACAACTTTTGCATTTTGTCATACTTGCTGAAAGCCCCTTTGGGGCAAAGTTCTCTGGTTTTAAATTGGTTACTCTCACAGTAACACAACAGAAGCCACAAGCTTCTCTGTTGTTGCTACAAAAGAATAATATGGCTACCCATCTTGAAACAGAGAAATAATTATTTGATTTTGACAGAATGAGTTCTTCCACACTGAGATGACAACAGAAAATATTGGTTTGCTGTTGTTGTTGTTGCTGTTAGCATTATCAAAATTAGAACACTTTAAAAGTAAGTTGTACATACTACAGTTAAATCCTTTTAAATGTGTATCTAAACTGTTGTTGAGTTGTAAGTACATAGAAGGACAACATCAGCAGTAAGATGTTTAAATGTTTTAGTAATTTGTTTGTAAAACACAGGCATTAACCAAATTCATTGATACCTATTTCCTGTCTAGGTAAACATCTTATTCTTAACATTCAAACATATTTAGTATTTCAGTTTCTAACCATGTTACATTAATTGCCAAAGCAATGTAACTACAACGGGTCACTGCTAATTTGTTATTTTACAATGAAATACCTTTAGAATTTGTTGCAAACAATTCTTGATTGGTGCAAAACTTGTTATGTTTATATAATGCAATACTAAATTGCATAGGCAAAGCTTGAAGAATAATGTAAGTAACTTTCCATTCCCAGTAGGATTTTTGCATGAGTTTTCTACCACCAAGCTGGGCAATAAACCTTTTTGAAAATCAAAGGGGTTTTAAGAGGAATTTGAGACATGGTCTGGAGGCTTATTTCTCTACAGAAAAAAAAATAGAAAAATTCCTTTGATTACACCAAGGTCCTTAGGTCGGACCAACTTAGCTGCCAAGGTAGTGGATATCATATCATGCATTTCCTTTAAATAAATTAAGAACCATTCACTACTTTTTAGAGCTGAAGAAGACTGGAATATAATGCATGCATAATTTAAAATCATCCATGTATGTGCTTGCCTAAACAAAATATATAGCATAAGGAAATTCCGGAGTGTATTACTCACAGATGTCTGCAAAAAGGTTATGACTGCCAGGTTTTTCCCTCCAATGTGACATATAATCTATGTATAATTTATAAGTAATAACAAAGCAATCAGGCCACATTCATAAAAATCCCAATGACACATAATTTAGCAGAATCTGTGGATTAGAATTAATTGTCTCTCTTTGTTCCAAGTTCTAAATCTTAGTAAATGATTCACTGCATGTCATTACAGCTTAATATTTGCATGAAATCACAGTTTAGATGGCATAATTTAATGGCAATTAAAAACCTATTTAACCGTCATGCAAATTGGCATGAGGGCCCTTGAGTATGAAGGGTGTCTATTTCTTCAGAATCTGCAGGCTGTCATTTAAACACTTTTAAACACTCCTACCACAATTGATAACACTTCTCCTGTTCATAGCAGTACAAATCAACAATAAATCATATTTTCATTATAAACAAAGTCTAAAATCCTCTATACATTGCTTTTGTGTACAAAACTATGGAGAATCATTAGCAAATTGTAATTTTAAAAAAATAACTTGGGCATCATTTGTTCCTCAGATGCTATCTATATAGAAATAACAAAGATTTTGGTGGCATCATAGTAATTAACAAATTTATTATGGCTTACATTTCCATGGATAACAATTTATTACATCTATGCAATCTATTATATCCTGAATAACAAATGAATATCCATATGCCCTGGAAGGGGAGGAGTTAGGACAAATGAAATACAGAAAGTATTGGCAGCGACAACCACATTAGTAATGGTCATTCACAATTTTATGATGCACCACGTGGTATAGCCAGTAAGAAGTTTTGTTTTGTTTTTGTTTTTTTTACAATTACCATCTTAAAATGAGTGATAGTATGACCCCAGAGGCTGAACTCCACTAGTTTTTGAACATTTCTGATCGCAGATGTCAGATTTATCTCAATTTATTCTTGTAGGACAAAACTGGCAGTATCCAAAATGGTTTGAAGCAAATTAATGCTACAGTTCCATGATTTTTTTAGAACAGATGAGAAATCCAAGAGTTCCACTGATATTTTTATATGAATAACTTGATTTTGGTTTCCTGAGTATATAAGAGAATATAAAATGCACATATATATATATATGCAAGCTGAAATCCACTTTTCAGTTTGGCATTTTGGTTTGCTCCAGTTCACAAATTAAAAAATAATCACAACAAACTGCTCTTTACCTAAGGAAAAAAATTCATGCAAGTCACGTACACTGTATGACATGTATAACAAAAAAATAAATTCATATTTACTTTTTCTGTTCAAGTTTTTAAAACTTTAAAATAAGTTCTCTGTATATACAGCCACAGCTTTTCTGTGCTGGCAAATTGGTTAGTCATTGATAAAGTCATGAGTGACAATTGTACAGCAGTGTGCAAAGGCTTCAAAACTATCAATCATTTTGTCAAAATTCAGATCCCAGAACAGTCAACCCCCTATTTCATCATCTGTAAGTCTTATCCTGAATGTGTTCTGAATTTGGATTCTATTTTTAATCTGATTTTTGTACTTAGTTATATGTGTTTGTGTCTGCCTAGTTCACTTCTGATCTTGTCCAAGTTACTAAAGAACATTTTGCACATTATTATAAGAGCTCAAATGAATAGTCTTCCTTTCCATATGATATTTGTGCAGAAAAGTTAAAAAGAATTCTTCCCATCTTTTGTCTCACTTATTTCAGTATATGCTAATATATATTTGGCCTACACAATTTGTTTTTGTAAACCAAGGACAGAAGGTATGTTATGTGTGAATGTGTGTGTTAATATAAATCATCAATACTTAGGCAGACTATTTTCTTTTTTCTTTTGTAGGACCACCTTCTGCTCCAAGGAATGTCATTTTTAATATAAATGAAACAGCCCTTATGTTGGAATGGAGTCCACCAAGTGACACAGGAGGGAGAAAAGACCTTACCTATAGTGTTATTTGTAAAAAATGTGGATCTGATACCAGCCAGTGCGAGATTTGTGGAGGAGGAATCCGATTTGTTCCAAGACATAGTGGGCTAATCAATTCCTCAGTGACTGTGCTTGATTTTGTGTCTCATGTGAACTATACTTTTGAAATAGAAGCCACGAATGGTGTCTCTGAATTAAGCTTTTCACCGAAGCAGTTCATAGCCATCACAATTACCACAGATCAAAATGGTGAGTTTCCTCTTATTTGTGTATCAGAGCTTATACAATATAATATGGTTAATTATATATTTTGTGAATTATTATTAGTAAATATGAAAAAGTAAGCTTGTGCTTTCTCAGATTATTTATTCTTCCATAATCCTATTTTGGTAAAAAATGGCTGTAGGATACATAATAAGACTTCAGAAACATTTGACAAAACCAGCCTCACTTACCTTCATTCAAATGATGTTGATTCATGTGATTTAATTTTCCTTGTGCAAGTCTAAAGATTTGTATTTTTACCATTTTATCTTGTGTACAATCCAGTTAATTTTGCTCAGGTACAGTATACTTACTGTCTTAGTAGTAGTTTGTGACTTTTAATTTAAGAGTCAGCTATCAATCAATGAGGTAAAGAAACCCTTGTTTGTCTGTGCAAAACTGTACTTCAGTTATTTAACATATTAATGCATGCTTCATTAATTTAATTTCACAAAAATTACCTAGATAGCTAGTTTAAGTCCAAATGTAACATTTATTTTAAGCTGACAACAATACATATATTTACAAGTTTGTATTAATTAACATCAAGTTAATGAATTGTTGGTTTTTTGTGAAGACATTGTAAAATATGAATTTAGAGATATTGCCCAGTTGATCAAGCAATCTTCCACATGTATATTAAAATACAAAATGTCTCATTAGTCATCCAAATGAGCAGCAGGGACATCCACAGGGGTCAAAAAAACTCAAGAGGACAGCTATGATCATATGTTTGAAGCCCTGCCTTTTTTACATGTGTGTACATGTGATGCATGTAAAAAGATAGCAGGGCTTTGATCATGTGATTGTGGCTGCAACTGTGACTTATTTTTTACTTCCCTTGTGTTCATCCCTTCTGGACAGCAACATCCATGCAAATATTACTCCATGTACTGTACATGAGAGAGATCTCTCTAGTTTTAAGAAGAGGAACAATAACATTTCTTTAATCTGTATTTTGATGAATTTTAATATTTTTACTGTGGGTTTTATAATTCATGTATCATTTTAAATTTTGTTCAGTTTGATTTTTATTAATTGAGGTCTTTCATTTTATTATTAGTGGCTTGAGTGGCCTTCTTTGGATAAATGGTTAGATATAAATCAGTTAGATAAATTAATAATCTCAGGATCCACATATTGTTAAACAATGCCTGTTACCTACAACTTGAAATGGAATCAGAGTGTAGCATTAAGCTGCTTTAATCCCCTTATATTCTTAAATAGATTTAACCATTTATAACCAAAATACTATGTTTTCCTAGTGTATGAGATACTTTTTATTAGAATGGCTGCAGATGATTGGCTTATTTAAAAATAAATGCTATAAATAAATAAATAAATAAATAAAGTATATAATTGTTCACTTAGAACTAAGAATTGGACAGGACTTTTTTCTGTTGTGCTGAATTTTCCCTGCAATTTTAAGTATGGGAAAATATTCTCATTGAACTGCATTATAAAGTAGAAATAACCAGTCTGATTCAAACACTTTCTGTAATGGTGCATGGTAATTGACAGTAAAAAAAGCAATTCTATAAAATGCAAGATCATGAATGATGGTGCTCTGTGCAATTATTATTCAGAAACCAAAATAGGGAAATTGCTAAAAAGATTAAATTCCTAGATTTTTTTCTGTTTGCACAAAAATACTGTCAAACTAAAAATTAGGGTTAGGTAGTGTGTTTTTAATTTAAGTTTTGCTAATTTGAGATATTCAGTGATCAAGATCTATGATACAAAAATATCACAATGTGGAATCAAAATGCAGGACACAAATGCAAAATAATCAAGGCTTCACTGCAGTGTTTATTAGACAATACATACTGGAGGGGAACCCCACCAAAGGTTAGTGAGAGAAACTCATCCTGTAGGCAAAATGGATGCCTTGATATTTATACAGCTCTACAAGAAGGGGAAGGGAAAAAGAACACATATGTATACATATTCATATGATGATGCAGGCATACCACCTAAATGGTGTGAAATCCTGGCTTCGCCAGAAGGCCCAAGGGCTGGTGGGGGCTCGCACCAGTGGAGGTGGCTTGTGGGGTAATTGACTCCCCCCCCCATCTTGAATGTTTTTAGTATTTATGTATAGGGTTTGGTTTTATAGTTGATTTTTAATAGATTAACTATTCTTAATTATTCATGGGGCATTTTTAATTGTTTATGGGTTTTGTATTTTAATTGCGAGCTGCCCAGAGTCACCCGTTGGGGAGATGGGCAGCATACAAATTTAATAATAAATAAATAAATGAACAATACTTCCCAAGTTACTTTCTGCCCCTATGTTATCTGCTATCTACAAGGACAACTGCTATCTACCAGGAAGAAGAAAAGAAGAAACTAATTAGTTAAAGATGCCAAATGCCAAGAAGAAGGCATTCTCCCTTAAGTTGCTATGGGGATGTTTGTGTTGATGATAAGGAGTTTACAGTCAGCTTAGTTCACACCAGCTTCAAAGGTACCAGCTTCAAAGGTGCTGCACATTCCTTTATGTTTCAATTTTATTAAGGCAATCTCACTCATCTGAGGCCTCTAAAAACTTGCTTCTTTCACCCAAAAACTTGCTTCTTTCACCCAAAGGTATATTTTCCTCATAACAGTTCAAGAGATGCCCAAACCTACAACTAGTGTGTTAGCTGAAGGAAACAATAAAACTGTGAAAGAGAAAATAAACCAAATCAAGTCCCTAAAACAGCTTAAAAGAGGAGCAAAGAATTGGGAGATGCGGCTGAGCAATCTTCAAGAACAAGATGCCATAAGCCTTGAAAACAGCCGCCTCTAATGTTAAGTTTTTCAGCTATTTTTAGCTACAACTCTTGAAGTCCTTGACCATCGGCTGTGTCGGTTCAGGCCGATGAACAACTCTTTTAGATGGATAGTGAGTTTTCCTACTCAAACCTTAAGGTATCCCAGAAAAAACAGCAACATTGGTATTAAGGTTGTGCCCTATAATCTTATGCTTGGACTCCAATTTTTCATCTAGACTCCCCCAGACCATGCAGGGAAAGGGAAAGGTAAAAAATTTGCTCTTCCACACATTGCAGTTTAAGTCTTGAATCAAAGCTCCTAACTGAAGAGGTCAGTAGCCTCCTGCTGTGGCTAGTGTAAAACAGGAACAGCATCAAGGTAGAGAGATTTTTGCAACCATTAATCTCTCTCATTTTAATAATCCGGAAGCCACTGTACTTCCCCCATACAAACACTACTTTAGTTCTTGAAATATTTCAAGGTCTTGTTTCAATTGTGTTTTAATTTATTTCACAGCTTATCCTCTACCAATTTCCAGATTTCTTGGGGCAAAACTGTATCTATTGCATTGTCATTGGTAAAAGCATGTTAATGAATAGCTGACACTTACAGACTACCTGTACATTTTGTTGCATCATTTCTATGAATAGCCAGAAACAGACATTCTAAAAAAAACCAAAAAAACCCCCAGGATATTTATATACTTTTAATCTTTTAAATATATAGTCTTCAGCAATTACTCTTTTGTAGATCTGTACAATTTCTAAGCATAAAAAATGGCATTACTTTCATAAAACTATTTTAGGGAGGGTTACAATTTTATGTATCACTACACCTTTCTCTAAAAAATTTCTGAATATGCTTAAGGACACTGGTTCAGAATATAAGAAATTATCCTCATATTCTCAGAAGCTTTATCAATATAATTTCTGCAATGTAAAAATTATTGTAGAGATGCAAATAATATACATACTTAGGTGTACTGTCAAACTATCATAGATTATCAGAATGGATCTTTCTTTGTTTAAATGAACTACAGTATCCATGTTGATAAACTAACATGACTGTATAAAAGAACAGTGATAAAAGAAGCATATCTGTAATTTCATGACATCTTTAAAAAAAATGTCTGAGTCTGTATACTTATCCAAAAGTCCTAAATATCTAATACCTTTTTGTTTCTGCCATGGTTAAAAAAAAAATGATATTTTGGAGCATATGTATTTTTGGAAAAATGGTTTTGCTAAGAAATGGAATTCATGTTAATTTTTAAAGAGTCCTATTAAATATTCCAGCATGTATGTAACTTAGGTCACATCATGACAGTGTGATGTATTGTAAAAGGGTTATAGGCTATTATCAAAATATTCTTGAGACTGGCATATCCTGCTTCTGACCATGGTACTTTTCCAGGGGAGAAATGGCAGATTGAATTCAGCTCCATTTTTTGTGGAGCTGACTCCCAAGGTAATTAGAGGAGTTGGGAATCAGATCAGCTCTTTGGAATCACCTCCAGTTGAAGGGGATGACAATCACCTACTCCTTACAGAGGCTCCCTGTGAAGAGATTGCAATCTAACAATCTCCAGTGGGTGGAGCACTCTGGGAATCGAAGGAAACATCAACAGTGCAGAGTCTTCCAAAGAACACTAGATTTGCTTTACTTCCTCTTTTAATTAACATCGGAAACTGCCAATTCGTGATTTATTTGGCAATTAAAAATCTCCTGAAAGGCAAGTTGCTGTACACCAGGAGAATTTCCTTTTATCCCGGGAGAAAGAAGATTAAAGTAAGTTTAAAGATCAGAAAGAAAGATTTTAACACTTGGAAAGAGTGGAAGGGGATTAAGAATGCTGACTGGGAGCAGTTTAGAGGCTGGATGGATTTGAAACAGCTTTTTAAAGGATTGTTTTAAATGTCTAAGAAAATACAGTAAGTGAGTTTGGATTTAACTGCGAGAAAATCTGTCCTGGGAAAGTTTTGTTTCTGGAAATAAACACCAGATCAAAACGAGCTTTGAAGGTTAACTAGAAGAACCAAAAAGCAATTAAAGGAAAAGATACCTTTTAACACAATGGAGGAGTATCCTTCTTTCAAAGAAGAATTGTTAGCTGTTTGGAATCA